CATCCCCCTTCCTCCCTCTGGCTCCCAGTTCCCTTTCACCCACCTTCCCATCCCTTCTTGCCATTGTCCTTAGGTACATGCTGCCCTTTTGAGTTTGAATGATTGACCATTCTATGAATGCATAGTGAGCATATCTTAATAGTGTTGTTGTTTCCCCTGTATATGTATCTACTGCTTACTGAAAGTTGTTCGCCCTATCTACTTACCTACTACTTGGCTGAAAGAAGGTGGATTCCTTTCCAGATCTGAAGGTGGTCGAGGGCCACAGTCTCAGGTTCTTCCAGTCTCTTTCTGACCAGTAAGCCCAGTCTTAAAAGTAATTTTGAGTTTGATGCCACACATTCTGCCACTCTGTCCAGGACTTTCTAATGTGGTCGTGGTAGCTGGGCACCATCTAGTTGTTCTGGTCTCAGAGTCGTGGAGACTGATGTTCACAAGTTCCGTTAGTCCTTTGGACTAGTTGATTCCAAGCATCTTCAGTTCTCTTCACTCTTCTTTTTTCTGCACATGGAGAAACCACTAGCTGCACCTTAGCAGGCTGCTCATGAGCTTTAAAGATCCCAGACACTACTCACCAAAGTAGGATGTGGAACATTGTATTTGTGGACTATGTTGTGCCGATTGACCATGGTGTCCTCTAAGACTATGGTTCTGAGTCCCTAGGCTTATCTTCTCATTGTTTTAAGATGTTTGATAATACCTAAGAAGATTTCATCATTTCACAGACCCATCAGCAATGTAGACGGGTCCCAGTCTCTCCACACCCTCACCAGCATTTGTTGTTTCCTGTTTTTTGAACTTCTTTGTTAATGTTGGTGTGAGATGATATCTCATTGTTGTTTTGATTTGCATTTCTCTAATGGCTAATGATCGTGAACAGTTCTTCATATATTTGTTGGTTGCTTGGATATCTTTCTTGTTGAAGTGTCTGTTCATGCCCTGTACCATTTTTAATTGGGTTGTTTGTCTTTTTCTTGTAGAGGTATGGTAGTTTTGTATAAATTTTAGATATTAGTCCCTTGTCTGATAAATTTTTTTCCTAGGATGTGGACTCCCATTTTACTCTTTGGTGAAGTTTTTTAACGCACTAAGTTTCTAATTTTTTGGAGGTCCCAGTGATCTATTTTGTCTTCTACTGCTTATGTGTTTTTTGTAATGTATGATAGTGTATGCCATGCATTGTTGTTAAGTTTCATCGAGTCAATACTGATCCATAGCCACCCTGAATAGGGTTTCCAAGAAGCAGCTGGTGAGCTTGAACTACCCACCTTATAGTTCAAAGGACTTCGCAGTCTGCCCACAGTGCCACACCAGGACTCCATGCCCCGTATTGTTGTTGTTGTTGTGTAGTGCTGTTGAATCGGTTCTGACCCATAGCGACCCTGTATAGTGTTTCCTAGGAGCAGCTGGTGAGCTTGAACTGCTGACCTTGCAATTCAAACAGCTTTGCAGTCTGGTGCATTAACCCACAGCACCACACCAGGACTCATGTTTCTTCAACAACTGGTGCTGGCAAAACTAGAACTCAATTAGAAGAATTAAACAAGATCCATACTTCACACCATATACAAAAACAAATTCAACATGGTTAAAGAACTAAATATAAAACCTGTAACTATAAAAATCATCAATGAAAAACTAGGGACAAATATAGAGCTCTAACATGTATTAGAGCTCTATATTTTGTCCCTAGTTTTTCATTGATGATTTTTTTAATTACAGGTTTGACATTTTTTGTTGCTGTGTGCAGTGGAGTCGTTTCCAACTCATAGCGACCCTGTACAGGGTTTCCAAGATTGTAAATCTTTAAAGGAGCAGAAAGCCTCATCTTTCTCCTGTGGAACAGCTGGTAGTTTTGAACTGCTGACCTTGCTGTTTGCAGCCTGATTCGTAACCACTACACTACCAGAGCTCCATATATTTTGTTATGCTGCTGGTTTCTTTGTTCTGCATGCTTGCTGTGCTGAGTTGTGTGTGTGTGTGTGTGTGTGTGTGTGTTTGCTGCTTCTTGTTATTTCTTCATGGGTTTAATGTATCTAAAATCATCATGGATTTTCCTTTTCTGGATTCAATATGAAAGTGTATGAAGTTTTTTTTAAGTTATCCTGTACTTTATTAATTTCTTCCTCATTTTAAAACAGTTCATTTTATCTTGAAATCTGCCTAACCTCCTCGCCACCTGAATCTCTGTGACTATACTTTTCCCACCTTTTGACATCTCTGATACCCTATTTTCAGTTCTGTCTGTAGTTTGTTCTGGAGTGGCGCTGTGGGTTAATGCACTGGACTGCAAAGTTGGTTTGAACTGCAAGGATGGCAGTTCAAGCTCACCAGCTATTCCTTGGAAACCCTCTACAGGGTCGCTATGGGTCAGAACCGACTCGACAGCCCTAAACAACAACAGTTTTGTTCTATTCTGGATACTTCCATGTTGTTACTAAGTGCCGTTGAGTCGATTCTGACTCATAGCAGCACTGTTTAGGGTTCCAAGGAGTGGTTGGTGAGTTTGAACTGCCGCTTTTCTGGTTCAAACTGACCTTGCAGTCCAGTGCTTTATTTTATAGCACCACACCAGAATTCCAGAAACTTCCATATCTGGACTGAATTCTGAGTGGTGTTGTCATGTATGTCAGTCTTTGGTTGTTGTCTGTTGTTGGTGGTTCCTAGTCCAAAGAACTCCCATTAGTATTTTTTGTGAGATAGAGGAAAATAGGAAAGAACAAGACTGGTTATAGGTTAGAGGCACAGCAGGACCATCTTGAAATTTCTCAGACACCTGTGAAGGCAAGAGGCCAGTAGGTGGCGCAGAAGAACTACACTTAGTTTTCTGCTTTGTTTTCTCTTTTTTTTTTTCCCCCTTCTGGCTTTTTGTTTCTTTGTTTTTTATGTATTTTTAGTTTCGGGGTTTTAGTTTATTTTGTTTGTTCTCCTTCTCTTTTGTGGGAGAAAATGTTGCACAAGCTCATCTCTAGATCCTACCCACCAGAAGGCAGCTGAATAGTGCCTAAGAATACACCAGTATACATTCATCCACTTAACACAATGAAACCGCATGCCTTGAAAGCAGCAGACCATCTCTAGTCACATAAAAAGCAAGGCAGAATAGTTCAAACAAATGACCAAGAGGAAAAGAAGTAGTGGAACTGTCTGAAAAGGAGTTCAGGAGAATGAGATTTAGGTACCTCCAAACTATTGACAGAAAGGTTGAGGAAAACAAGGAATAATTAAGAAAAGTGCTACAGAAACAAACAAAAAACCAAAATAGATCAAGGGTTGGAGACAACACAAAACCTGCAAACAGAAACCCCGAAGATTAGTACTAAGTTATCAGAAATGGACAATAAATTGAAACTACAAAAGGGTAGATTTGAATCAATGGAAGCCAGTAGTGGTCTGGAAGAGAAATCTCTCAATACTAGTAAACTAGAAAAACAATAAGAAAAAGTAATGGAAAAATTCAAAGAAAATCTTAAGATTCCTGAAGTATAACAGGTCTTGCCTCTAGTCACCAGGGGTATGCAAGGAACCAAACAGGAATGTTTTCTTGTCTCTCAATCTACTCACACCCATTCAAAATGACTTGGCCTGATTTGGCTTACCCAAATCAGAAATCACGTCCTTTCTTGCATCTGTTCAACTCTCTCTCCCAGTAAGAACTCTGTCTACTTTTCATCCCTTTAGCTGAAGCTCACAGTTCCAGGACCATCCTCTGAATCTGTCTCGTCTGGTTTTCCGTATCTTTGCAGCAGAGGGTCCATACAGCCTTTCTGCCTGGTCCACCATCATGCCCTACCTTGCCGCAGTGTAGTTTTTCAGGTTTTAATATTGGGTATGTTGTTGTTGTTGTC